TTCACTTTCCTCACTTCACCTCCTCACCGGCAGAGCATGGGCACCCTCCCTATTTCCTTTCCAGATCTGCTTCATGTTTTGTCTTCCTCTATTTAAAATGCAAGCTTCTTGTGGGCAGGGACCATCTTGTTTGCTTGTATTTGTATTCCTGGCATTTAAGTGGCTAATAAACATTTTATGTCTCAAGGAATTTATATTCTTCCTAGAATAAAATATGTATATGTAGAAAAGTAAATTTAAGATGATTTGAGGAGGAGAAATAATTCACAACAATGGGGGGAACCAGGAAAGTGTTTAAACAGGAAGTGGTCCCAGAGCTGAGACTTGAAGAAAGCATTGGATTCAAAGTTTGCATCAGTCCTATATTCAGGCTTCCATCTTTGCCCCAGAGCTTTCTCTGGTTTTCAGACCAGACCTACCTTGACCTGCTAGCTCCTGCCTCCCATCTTGCCACGGCTGTACAAAGCCCATTCTCTATCCCAGACTACCTGCTTCCTTAGTTCTGTCCCCTCAACTCTACCCCAAAATGTCCCACTCCAGGTTTACCCACTCCTTCCACTGTGCTCCCTGAAATGACTGCTCTACAATTTGCAAACTTATCTTCATCTTAAAATTTTTCTTTTCAATCTCTCCATCTTCTGGTTCTCACTGAGACCTGGCTCCTTCCTAAAGACACTGCATCCCTGGGCACCACTTTCTACTACTGGTTACGTTTTCATTCATACTCCTTACTAGCTGTGATCATGGGGGGAGAAGTCAGAATACCCCTTTCTCCCTCTATTCTCCCTCTATCACCAATACTCAGTAACTCCTCCTTTGAGGTTCATTCAATCCAGATTTATCATCTGTTCCAAATTCTGGTAGCTGTTATCTATTGACCCCAAAGATACTCTTCTTCCATCCTCAATGACTTCAGTGACAGGCTCACAGTATTTCTCTCCATCCCAACTCCTGCTCTCATTTTTGGAGACTTCAACATACATATTGATACTCCCTCAAACAATCTAACTTCCCAGTTTTTCAACTTACTCATTCCGCATGACCTACTCCTCCACCCCACTCCCCTTAGCTACACATAGAGATGGTCACACCTTTGACCTTGCTATCACCCACAAGTGTTCCACTGTTCATGGACTCGGCAATTTTTGCATATGCCCTTCCTTTTGTGGCTAAACGCTTTGAGAAAGTCATCCCCACTTGTTGCCTTTACTTCCTCTGCCAGTGATCTCTTAATGTCCAGATCTAACGGCCTTTTATCAATCTTCATTCTCTTTGACCTCTCTGCAGCCTTTGACACTCACCGTAGATAACTGTCTTGTGGATTCTCTCTCCTCTAGATTTTCATGACACTGCTGGTTCTCCTCCTACCCATCTGACTTTCTCCTTAGCTGGATCTTCCTCCAGTTCAATCCCACTTACTATGAGTGTACCCCCAAGGTTCTGTCCTCCATCCTCATCTCTTTTTCCTCTATACTATCTTACTTGGTGATCAAGGAGATTACTTTGGGGGAGGGGGATATTGTAGTAGTTAAAACAAGAAGTGATCATTACCTGATTTAGGATAGTAGTTGTATACCGTTAGAGACAGCTAGGTGGTGAAAGTGATAGAATGCTGGACCTAGAGTCAGGAAGACTTGACATCTTAAAAACCAAGCTGCAAAGTACATTTCAAATGCAACTTTGGGCACTTAACTAGCTATATCACCCTCGGCAAGTCACTTGTGGTCTATTTGTCTGTTTCCTCAACTCAAAATGGGGATAGTAATAGCATTTCCCTCTGAGAGCTGTTGTGAGGATCAAATGAAATAAGATTTGTAAAGCACTTAGCACACTTCCTGGCACATAGTAAGTGCTTAATAAATGCTTGTTTTCTTCCTTCCTTCTTTGTATGAATGGAGAGAAGGTGAGAGTAGGAGATGTTGTGAAGGTAGAATAAACATGACTCAGTCAGCAATTGTTAGCGATATGGGGGTGGTGGTGGTGGCTGTGGGGAATAGGAGGTATCAGAAGGGACAATTATGTATAACTCTGAGGTTTTTAAGCTGTGTGACTGGAAAGATGAAATGAGCAGAAATGAGGAAATCTGGAGAAGTGATGGGTCTGGAGAGGGATTTCATGGGTTCCATTTTGCAATATTGAGTTTAATATGGCTATGGGACATTTTGGTGGTGAGGTCCAAACAGAGAAGTTTGGACTTAGGATAATATGATTAAGAGATGAAATAAACCTTAAATATCAGCCAGTACCATGCCCTCATTTTACAGAGAGGTGACCTGAGGCCCTGAGTGGTGTGAGTTGACTTGTCCTGAATCACAGAGGCAGTAAGTAGAAGAGGTCACAGTCAAAGCTATATATTTGGGGTCTAGATCCAGGCTTACCCCAGACACTCCCTTTCCTTAACCTAGTCAGAGACAGGGGATTTCCTGAGCACCGGTTTGGGGAATTGCTGTCAGGTTCTACCTTGTCATTCCAAGGAGATCCTCTTTTCCCGACACGATCTCCACAAAGACTCCAGTACCACTCTGTGTTTTAAACTTTACTCCAGAAATGAAACATATTTTGATGGTTACTGAATAAGCAATCCCCTTTCTGGAGGACCTACATTGCCCTAGTATCTCCTTGGCTTTGTTCTTCAAGTAGACTATTTTGCAGGAACTATGTGAACACTCTTTTTTCTCCAAAGAGAATGCTGCACCAAGGAAATCAGACAATTCAGTGACTGAACTCTTGTATTCAGAAACTCTCAAATGGGGGTTACTTAATTTGAAGCACCTCTCAAAACTGATGCTGCAAGAAAATCATTCTTCCTCCCCTTGCTATAAGGCTAGATTCTGGGCACCTAGAAAAGACAGCTAAATGGCACAGTGGATTAGAGTACCAGGCCTAGAGTCAGGAAGACCCATCTTCCTGAGTGCAAATCTGGCCTCAGACTTACTAGCTATGTGACCCTGGCAAGTCACTTAACCCTGTTTGCCTCAGTTTCCTCATGTATAAAATGAACTAGAGAAGGAATGGCAAACCACTCCAGTATCTTTGCCAAGAAACTCCCAAATGAGGTCACGAAGAGTCAAACACGACTAACAACAAAGAATGCCTACAGCATTCCAAATCCCTTCTCTACATGAGAGACTCGGGTTTCATTACAGTGTCTTTCAACTCTTTTTTCTGGCTGTATATAAGTAGCACTGCCATGTGTCACCTATGAGTCACCAATACTGCTGGGGAAGGTTGGGAAGGGAGAAAGACACTCTCCCCCCCCCCCCGGCTGTACTTTGGTTTGGAAGTCCAAGGAAGAGAGAGCCACTGGGCCAGCAAAAATCCCACTTACTATGGGTGTGCCAGCTGTTTTACAGCCCACTTTTGGGTTACAGATCATGGGGGAGGTCCCCCTGAACTTTCTGTTGCCAAATCATCTTAGAGATAGCCCCAGTTACTGGGAACCAAATAGACAGTGTTCTGTTAGCAAGGTGCCAGGGCATATGTCTATCAGCCCAGTGCCATGGTAGATGCCTAATAAACATTTGTTGATTGATTGATTGCAATACATGAGGGGGTAACCTTCTAACAAAGGTCTATGCCCTGTGATTTCATCAAATTAACTAGTCTCTCTCCTTTCACTCTCCCATCCCCCATTTACATTAAGAAAGTCCTCTCTCCCCCAGAAAATCTCCCCCAAGGCCTGAAATGGCTATTGCCTGAAATGTCAGATTCAGGCATTTGGCTTAGGGGTCATCCCTTATTTAAATGTAATTACCCCCTGAGAGGAGTGGCATTGTGGTACAGTAGAAGGAGGACTGAATTTACAGTCAGAAGACTTGGTTAGCATTCCTGCTTTGCTATTTATTAGCTGTATTATATTAGGGAATATGTATATTCCCCTTCCCTTCTCTGGGCCTAGTTTTCTTATTGGTAAAATGGAGTCAGTTTCTTTACCTTTGTATCATAGACCCCTTTGGCAGTCTAGTGAAATCTACAGACCCCCTTCTCAGAAGGGTATTTTATTGCTTATATTCATAATTGAAAGAAATGCTAAATTTCAGTTATGGTTAGTGAAAATAAAGATGTAGATTTTTTTCCTGTCCAAGTTCATAGACCCACTGAAATCTCTATGGTCCATGCACCTAAGATTAAGCCTCCCTGAACCAGATGACCTCTAAGGTCACCTCCACCTCTAACATTTTGTGATTCCAAAGACACATTTAAAACTTATCAGTTATTAACTTTTTAGTGGGAATGAGTGATCCTTTCCTAAAACAGGTGTTCATAAAGGGAGTAGGCGATAGCATAGAAACTGGGCTCCTGAGATTGCGTAGGGTCAAAAGTGGAGGTGGTCAGGGCACTGAAGACAAACTTCACTTGCCATATAATTTTGTCTGAGGTTAAAGCATCTTAGGGATGTTGCTGTATCTCTTCTCCCAAGTCCAACCCTTTCTCCTTAACCTAGTTTCCTTTGGACCCCAAAGGACCACTTCCAAGGAATAACTCTTAGCTCTCCCTTTGAACTCTTAGCTTTCTCAGAGAAACCAGATTTAGCCTGGATTATACTGCTCCAGAGGGCAATCAGTCACTTGCCAGGTGGCCAGTGAGAGAACCAGCAGTTTCTAGGATGAGGCCAATAAAGATGGACAGCAGCAATTGCTCAAAGCCTAAGATGGTTCCTTTCCTTCCTATCTGCTCTCTGTAGCTTCCCACCCCCAGCTGACATCATGCAGGACATACCAGCCCTTAGAATCTGTACTCCTATAGGTTCTACCACTCCAGGAACTCTGCCCACTGTCATAGGCATGTTTTTCCTCCTGGGCAGAGATTGTTAGGTGTGCTTCCTGAAAGTTGGCATTGCCTGATGTTGTCAAAGTTCAGGCAAGATATTTCACCCCAATGATGATTTCTCACTGAATCTGGTACTCTGCCAGCCTCAGGGGGGATAGATGCTTCTCTGGGTCCCCACATCTGACCATACCAAGCCAACCACTTTCTTTCTCCTTTGCGTTATGTTGCAGATTGAAATGCTAGAACATAAATACGGAGGCCACTTGGTGTCCCGGCGAGCAGCTTGCACCATTCAGACAGCCTTCCGCCAATATCAGCTTAGCAAGAACTTCGAGAAGATACGCAACTCACTGCTTGAGAGCCGACTCCCTCGGCGTATCTCCCTGCGCAAGGTGCGGGTCCCCAATCCAGAGACTTTTGCAGCAGAGAAGGCTTTGATGGAGGGCTACGGGCTGATGGGGCTGCCCCTGGTCCGCTCTCCATCTCTGCCGGCCACCATCACAGGCACACTCACGGAGCTTGAGGACTCCTTCACGGAGCAAGTCCAGTCCCTGGCTAAGTCCATCGATGATGCTCTCAGCACCTGGAGCCTCAAGACTATGTGCTCCCTCCAGGAAGGGGGCTCCTACGAGATCCATGAGACCTTCCATGCTGGAGGAATGGGGCCCCCAGGCCTGGAAACAGAACTGAAGGAGGAGGAAGCTGCAGAACTAAGCCTGGAGGAGGAGGAAGAGGGCAGTGGGTCAGGGGCTGGGCTGCCCAAAAGCAGAAGCACCCTCATGATGGCTTTCCGGGATGTCACAGTGCAGATCGCCAGTAAGAACATCTCTGTCTCCTCCTCCACAGCTGTTTCTGTGGCCAACTGCCTGGGAGGGCAAGAGACTCAGGTTGGACTGGTCCCAGCAGCAGGCAAAGCAGAGGCAGAGGAGGCAGGGGGAGCCGAGGCTTTGGCCTCCCCTGTTGTGACTTCATCTGCTTCAACCACTGGGCACACATGGACCGAAGTTGGGGCTGTCGGGGACATAAACACAAATGGGCAGGCAGCTGAGGGGGCGATGGGTGAGGAAGAGGAGGAAGAAGAGGAGGTAGGGGGGTCAATCAAAGGGGGGGAGATTGAGACCGGTGACAACTCAGAGCAACTGAGCAGCAGCAGCACCTCCACGAAATCTGCCAAGTCAAGCTCAGAGGTGTCAGCCTCAAAGGAGGCCCTGCAGGCTATGATACTGAGTCTGCCCCGATACCACTGCGAGAACCCAGCCAGCTGCAAATCCCCCACGCTCTCTACTGACACCCTTCGAAAGAGGCTCTACCGCATCGGCCTCAACCTCTTCAACATGTGAGTCACGGGGCCCTCTCCCTTCTTCCCTGCCGGCTTGCCAGGACCTACCTAGCCACCGGGCTTCTGCACAGCTTAGGTTGGGGCGGGGGAAGTGGTTAGGGGTGAGGGCTAGGAGCGTAGAGTACAAACGGGAAGAAAGAAGATAGGGGAGGGACAGCTAGGTGGCTCAGTGGATGGAGCACCAGCCCTGAAGTCAGGAGGACTTGAGTTCAAATCCAGCCTCAGACCAAACACTTGACACTTACTAGCTGTGTGACCATGGGCAAGTCACTTAACCCCAATTGCCAAAAACAAAAACAAAAAAGATATTGGGAAAGAAAGCGAAGGTATAGTGGAAAGGACACTGGACTAGAAATCAAAGAACTGAGTTCAAGTTCTGACACAAGCAAACTGTGTGACTGTGGACCAGTCCCTTCACCTATATGGAGCCTCTGTTTCCTCATGATGCTATAGCTCCTTCTAGCTTTAGAAGTTCATAATTATATCAGAGGGAAGAATGGGAAGATGAGATAGTAGAGGAAGTGAGATGGCAGTGCTAGAAGAGAGATGGAGAGGGGGGAAAGGGTGAAAATGATTACAAGGGACTAATGATGAAGCATGCTACCCACTTTATTTATTTAATTTTATTTTTTTGGCAAGTGGGGTTAAGTGACTTGCCCATGGTCACACAGCTAGTAAGTGTCAAGTGTTAGGCCGGAGGCCAGATTTAAACTCAGGTCCTCTTGACTTGAGGGTGGATGCGCTATCCATTGCGCCACCTAGTTGCCCCCATGCTACCCACTTTAGATAAAGGTATGATGCACCCAAGTTACAGGGGAAAAAATTTTTGTAAGGAAATTTTATAGAATTTGTTTTGACTGAGTCTGCAGATTTGTTACAAAGGTTTTGATTTTTTTTTCTTTTTTTCTCAATGCAGGAGAGGGGAGTTGGGAAGGAGCTAGGGGTTGGTTTAACAAAAACAAAAAAGAAAGAAAAGAGGGTCATAGAAACATATTTTTAAAAGTATAGAAGAGAAAAGAAGGAAGGCCAAGAAATCACAGACAAGTAGGATAGTTTCGAAAGTAACACGTTGAATTTTAATATATTTTAAAGAAAAACCACCTGTACATAATAGAGATTCATAGTTTCATGTATAAAGCTTTCTTTCTGTTCTACCACGTATATGGTAGTATTCTTATCTGGTAGTTGTTAAGTTCTGAATTTTTTAAATAAAGGGAAAAGAGAGAGAAGTGAGATGAGAGATTTGGCATAGAAAGGACAGACAGGATGAGTAAGATGATGTACAGGGGAAATGTGTTGGTGAGGAGGAATACAAGGGGAAGGGAGTGAGAAATGAACAAAGGTGCAGGGTGAGGAAAGGGAAGAACGTGAGTGGAAGAGAAAGGGAATGAGGGGAAGGAGGGGAACAAATATGCACAAATCTATTCCCTAGCAGGGAACATGCTAGAGTGGACTGCCACCATAATGTTCTGCTGCCATAATACATGCATTTAGCCAATCAGAAAGCTTCACTTTCAAAGAGGTGGTAAATCACTTGGCTTTCCATTGTCAGGCATGACAAATGTGTTGATTTGTATTAATTGCTTCTTTTTTTATAAGAGAGAATTATTTGGAAGGGAGGGGAGGGGAGTGGGCAGGGAGAGAGAATGAAATGATAGCAATGTGTTTTTTTTTAAGCATCCACAAAACATTTATATGTATATTTTAAAAGTGGAACTGGAACCCAGAGGAAAGTTGAGTCTATCAGCAAGCATTTATTAAGCACTACTATGTACAAGCACCATGCTAAGCACTGAGGATATAAACAAAGGCAAAAACAGAGACTGCCCTCAAGGAGCTTAATTTCTAATGGGGTAAAATAGCATGAAAATGATGAAGAAAACTGGGAAGCAGTGGTAAAGAAGGAGTTCATTTCAGGACCACTTACGTGTGCCAAGAGACAGGGTACCAGATAGAAGGAATAGCAAACAGATCGATTCAGGTGGATCATAAAGGGAAACATAAGAAAGGACCAGGTTATGATGGGCTTTAAATGCCAAAGAGAGGATTTTATATTTTATCCTGGAAGTCGTAGTAAGTCCCTGGAGCTTACTGAAGAGGCCAGACCATTCTTAATCTGACAAGTTATTTTCCTTGTGTTTCTTTTTAAAAACAAAACAAAAGCAAAAACCTAACCCCCTTTTCATTTAAACATAAAACTCTGTAGCCAGATATCTCCTTCTCTTATACACAAAATCAGACACCTGTGATGATCCTGGGCCCAGCTTCACATACATTTCTCTTCTCTCTGCTCTCCCACACAGAATGATAGAAGCCTAATTTTGAACAAATTTCTAACAGGATCTCAGTTTCCTCATCTTCTATATGAAGGGTTTGAAGTAGGTCTTGAAGGGATAGATGGTAGGAGTCAAAGTAGCCAAGGCAGATGACTATTTTCCTCTTCCTCTTACCTTATTTTCCCTTTCTCCCAGTTTCCTCTTATTAATACAAGTCCTAGGAATAGCTGAGGAGGTAATTGCCTGTTGAGATATAGAATCAGGAGAGATAGAAGCTGAGAGGGGAGGGAGGGGCGCTGGTCAGAAGTGCTGAGGAAGATGGAAGATCCTTTTAGAAACCTGCCCAATTTCTGAAATGTTACACAGGTTTTCTGATTGCTTTGTGGAAAGAGAGACAAGGGGATGACCCATACATTTTTTCCATTTCTGTTTCCAAATTAAAATACTGAGAAGTCCAGAAAGGGGTGCAGAGATTGGTTTCAAAGGGAGTTAGTTAGCAAGAGGAGGTAACCCCATCCCTAGTTCTTACCCTATTCCTTCCTCCACAAACATTTTGTAACAAATATTCATAGTCAAGCAAAACAAATTCCCGATTTGACTGTGTCTAAAACTATATCTCATTCTGCAGTTTGAGTCCATCATCTCTCTATGTGGAGGTGAGCAGCATGCTTCACTGCATCATACTGAAAGTCAGACTCAAGAAGCTTCATGCCTGTCCCTGCTCCACTTCATTGCCTCTCTTAGTGGAGTTGGAATCCCCTTTCCTCAATTCCTACTCAAGCATATATGGATAGCTTGGCTGAAAGGGAAATGTATCTTAAAGTGAAGGGTGTTTTGGTGGAAGGGATGGTGTTTGAGGAGTTAGGTGGGAGAGGGAGGAGAGGTATAGAATATCAAGTTTTCTCAGAGATAGTAAAACAAGAGGAAGAAGCTGGTAGTATTCAGAGATGGTTGGGGTAATGGGGAATGGGCTCTGAATACTGAAGGGAAGTTTGTAGCAACTAGAAGGGGGCCCTGGCTATGAATGAGAAAGGGTTGGGGGGTCACCAGGGCCAGAAGAATTTCATCCTAGACTACTAGAAGAACTGGCAGATGGGATTGCTGAGCTGGGATCACTGCTGTTAGTGACCTTTGAAAGACTGGAGTGTAAGACAGGTGCCATTGCAGAAGGGCAAATGTTGCCTAATTAATAAAAAAAAGGGCAGGGGGGTGGGTAGTAAGCAAGTAGAGTCTGCAAACTACAGGCTAATGAGCTTAACTTTAATTTCCTACAAATTCTCCAATGTATTCTTAAAGGGATGTTAGCGAACATCTATAAAAAGAGGTGGTGATCACAAAACATAACTTCATCAAGAACAAGTCATCAATAATCATGTATTTATTAAGCACCAACCATATACAAGGCACTGTATTAATTACTGGCATGCTAAATCCTGCCACACTAACCTCATTTCCTTTTTTAGACAGGATTGCTAAAATTGTTCCTTTCAACTCTTAAATTCTGTGATTCTGGGCAGATTAGGGAAATACTGTAGATTATCACTTACCTTGATTTTGGTAAACTTTTGAAGTAATTAATCTCTGATGCTTTCCTGGTGGACAAGATGGAGAAATGAGGACAGGAGTGTGCTGGAGCCAGCTGGAACCAGCTTTCAAGAGCTAATTGTTAAAATTTCAGTTTGAGCATTTAAATTGGAAATTGGCAAATGCCACTACATATTAGGGCTTGGTTTATTATTTTATAGATTGCCTAGACTTAAAAAAGTCATTACTTTTCTCCATTGAGAAAATGTTAACAATATAAATTAAACTTAAAAGTATGTCAGGAGCACTTTTTTTCTGGAAAGCTGTTTGTTAAACATTTATTGGTATACCCCTGGATGAGAGCCAGACAATAGTATGGGTTCCATTTCAACTTGGAAGAAGGTCTCTGGAACAGTACCCTAAGGACCTGTCTTTGACGTTGCGCTCTTTGGTATTGTTGTAAATTACCTGACTAAAGTCAGTACATGGATGGCAAGATTTGCAGGTGACATGGAGCTAAAATGGTTAGCTAACACATTGAATGTCCATCAATTCCAAAAATAACTTTACAGGTTAGAACATTGGGTCAAATCTAATATATTAAGTTTAATGGGGATAATTATAAAATCTGATACTTGGATCCAAAATATGAATTTCACAAGTACAAGTTAGGGAAGGCATAGCTAAATAGCAATTGGTCTGAAAAGATATATGGAGGCTTTTCTGTACAGTAACTTCTATATGCACACAAGCAACAGTGTGTTATGAGAGTCACAAAAGCTAACGTGGACTACATTCAGAAAGATTGGGAGTAGAGGAAGTTCTTGTTTTGATAGGAGTTGGACAAAATGTCCTCTTAGATCTTTTCTGCCTTCTGAGATTAGATAGGAGAGAGCTTGTTGGATTTGGAAAGGACTGAAGATAAGTGGAGGACTGGTAACACTCTAGCTTACTGTTCCCCTGATCCCCTTCTCTGTTTCCAGAAACCCAGACAAGGGCATCCAGTTCCTGATCTCCCGAGGCTTCATCCCTGACACTCCCATTGGTGTGGCTCATTTCCTCCTTCAGCGAAAGGGACTTAGCAGACAAATGATTGGAGAATTCCTGGGAAACAGCAAGAAGCAGTTCAACCGGGATGTGCTAGAGTAAGTGACTTACCTACTTACCCCTCATCAGACAGCTCAGCACCTCTGTTGCTGCTCTCCTCTGTTCTCCTCAATCACCTCCTTTTCCTTGTTCCCTTCCTCTCTCTGGTTTCTTTCTACCCTCCCTTTCTCCTTTTCCACAGACAGATACAGTGGAAACAGTGGGGAATTTGGATCAAAGGACCTGTTCTATAATTCTAATTTTTCTATTTAAGATCTGCATGACCTTGAGTAAGACACTTAAACTCTAGGTCTCAGTTTCCTCATCTGTGATATGAGGGAATTGAACTAAAATTGGTTTATGATCCTATGATCTTCATAAAACTGAGATCAGACATGGGAATACCTCATAGTATTTCATGTCAGGAAAGAAGATGCTACAGGCAGACAATCCAGAATGGGAATCTTAGAGCTTTTAAATTTTTTTTTTAACTTCCCCAAAGCCCAGTTCCTAGGATACCTAAATAGCCTTGGGCAACTCTGTCATTCAATTTCTCTTTGTGCAAAATGGAGAGAATAATAAACACCCTGCTCGACCAACCCCTAAGGATAAAATGATAGGATCATAGACTTCAAATTAGAGGCATCAAGGTTTTCACCTCTGACATGATACAAAAAAGGAGGCTGAATAATACAGTGGAAAGAGTTAGGAAGGCTGACTTCACTTTATGTGCCATAGACAAGTCACTTCCACCTTTCTTGGTCTCAGTAAGACCAAAAGATGTCCAACTCCCTTCTAACTCTTGATCTCATGGACATATGAGAAGGACTTTGGAGGGGAATAGGGACTCTTACATACCAAGGTTTCTTATAAACAGCTTTCAATTCTTCACAAGTAGATTCTTTATTCCCTGCCTTCCAGCTACCCTTCAGCTCACCATCAGTCAGTTTTGAGTCAGAACACAAAAACTGATTTTTTATGTCAGCCAAAGCAAAGCATAATGGAGAAAAATGAGGACTAAATGACCTCTGAAGTCCTTTCTAGCTCTAATCCAATGGTGTTAAATCTTCCAACAACAAAGAATGTCATAAAATACATTCCAAAGTCAAAATTTTAAAAAATACTAATAATGGAGGGTCCAGTCCTCCCCTCTGGTGACCACTGGAATGAATAATAGGATTTAGAACACCGTGATATTTATCAAACACACACTCTCCCTTTCTGGTGGAGCGCAGTGGAAGAAAGTTTGGAAGAATGGAAATGTTGTAAATATTCATCTTAGAATCTAATCTTAGACAGCCAGACTGGAAGACCATACTAACTCTAGAGAATCTGCTGGTTAGAGGAGCCTCTTCCCATAAGGAGAGCTGAGATATTAGGGGCAATCTCAGGTTAAGGTAAGGAGAGAATAGGATGTAGTCTGTCCATGGAGACCCTTCTTAGTTCTTCCAAATTATGTCTGGTCTTGACTCTCTTCTGTTTTTTTCATGAGCCAACTCTTTGCCATTCCTTCAGGCTCTTTCTTCTCTAGGTCACACTAAGTCTAGCCAGCAGTTAGCAGGACCATTTTCCTAATGGTCTTTGGAAGAATTCAAATCTTTTATATTCTCATCATGCTCTACCTGGTACATCTTTTTAGATTTTCATTTCTCTATCTGGCACCTATCTCTATTGAAATGCCCTATGATGCTTTATCTATAAAACACCGAGTGTTTTGGGGAAGACTAGACAGAGAAGCACCTTGTGTTCCTTTTTCTCCCTCCTTTCTTCTTCTCCCATTAATTCTTTTTTTCTTCAGTCCATGGCATTTATTGAAAGCTTTCACTATGTGGAATAGAAAGTGCTATGGGGACATTTAAAAAGGCATTAAATGATTATAAACTTCCTCTTTCCCCCCTTATTCTCTAACCTTCTATTCCCCTCTTGTTCCTTTCTGCCTTCTTCCTTTCTTCTGTTTTTCTCTCCTTTCATTTTCCTGGTGGGGGGGGGAACCCAGGAGGACTAGGTAATAAAATGTATCCCTCTTCAGTCTTTTTTTCCTTTCTTTCTCTCCCCTAATATGATAACTTTGTGGTCTTAAGTCTATTTCTGTTTCATTTACCTTTGCCTTTGACAGTTATGCCTGTCTTCTCCTCATTTCTTTATCTACTTAGCATGTTCCCATTTCTGCCCTCCATGCCCCACTGTGTTCCTTAGACTGTCTGTCTCTCTTGGATTTGGGTTCCTTTTTTTTTTTTTGTATGTGTTTTTCTTTTTCTTTTTTTAATCAGATCCCAAGTGACTTAAGTCTTACTTTTCTAACATACCCGTTACATACTGATTTGGTGTTTGGGGGAACACGTGTTTTGGTTTTTAATGTTTTTTCCTCCAGCCTTAATCCTACTGAGTAGCATAATGAAAGCTAATTGCCTCCCTGGGAAGCTATTTGTATGAGCTAGAGACTCAGACAGGCTAACTCCATCTCAACCTAAGTCTTCTGCTGGTGAAGGTAGGCTGTAGTAGCAGCCATGGCAAGGGGCCAGCCACAGAGCCAGAAAAGGTTGTGGTGGGGAGTCAAATTCCTGCATCAGAGCCCCTCTTTTAGATTTCTCATACCTCAAAGAGGTAGAGCAGTGTTGTAAGAAGAGTACTGGGTTTTGGGGAAACCCATGTTCTTAATAGAGCTTTGCTACTTCACAATCTCAGAGTTGGAAATCTCCCCCACTCCAGACCTGAGCAGGAATCCCCTGGAAATATCCCTGATGGAAGAAATTAGCCACTCGTTAACTCCATTATTCCAGTCATGCTCCATAGCCTTTTGGATATCTCTCCCTGGATAGCTTGTAAGCATCCTCAAACTCAACATATACAAAACAGACTCATTATCTTTTCTCCTTAACCTGCCCTACCTGCAAATTTCCCTGTTTCTGCTGAGCACACCATCATCCTCCCAGTGATCTAGGTTAATAACCCTGGAGTCCTCCCTGGCTCTTTCCTTTCCTTCACCCTTCATATAGCATCAGTTGCCAAGACTTGTCAATTCTACCTCTACAGTATCTTTCATCAATCCCCTTCTCTCCACTCACAAAGCTAACACCCTAGTTCAGACTCTCATCTCCTCATATGAAGTTGTGGGCATTCACCAGTCATCTTAACTTTTCTCCTGCTACTAGACTTTGATGACCGTTGTTGTCAGTTGTTTCAGTCCTATCTGACTCTTTTGACTCCATTTGCAGTTTTCTTGGCCAAGTTACTGTAGTGGTTTGGCATTTCCTTCTCCAGCTCATTTTACAGATGAGGAAACTGGGGCAAACAGAGTTAAGTGACTTGCCCAGGGTCATACAGCTAGCAAGTATCTGAGGACAGATTTGAACTCAGGAAGATGAGTTCTTCCTGACTCCAGGCCTGGCACTCTATCCACTACAGTTAGGACCTGCCCTCATATCAAAACTACCATAATACCTTCACAAGCAGCTTTCCTAGCTCTCAATTTCTCCATTCCACAATCTATCTTCCACATCGCTGTCAAAATCATCTTTCTAAAATACAGGTCTAAACATGTTGTTCTCCTCTTCAAAAGTCTTAAGTGCCTCTAGAATAAAATATAAACTACTTAGTTTGGAGTTTAAGGCTTCCTCAATCTGGCTCCCACCTTTCTTTCTAGCCTTATTTCATGTTATTTTCCCCTCATAACCTCTCTGGTCCAGCCATACTGGATGAAAACATTCCATTTGGATCTAAAGGATCTGAATTTAAATATTGGCTTTGCCACTTACTACCTATATGATGACCTTGGGCAAGTCACTCTAAGCCTCAATTTCTTTATCTTTAAAATAAAAGGTTTTGATTATAGAGGTTGCAATGTTTCTTCTTCCTGAGACTCATCTTCCTCAGTTCAAATCTGACCTCAGGCACTTACTAGCTGTGTGACCCTGGATAATCACTTAACCCTGTTTGCCTTACTTTCCTCATCTGTAAAATGAGCTAGAGAAGGAAATGGCAAACCATTCTAGTATCTTTGCCAAGAAAACCCCAAATGGGGTCGCAAAGAGTCAGACAAGACTGAAATGATTCAACAAGAAGTATGTTTCTTCTAGCTTTAAATCTCTGATCCTATGGTCTTCATTGATGGCAAACTCACTTCTTCCCAAGGCAGTCCATTCCACTAATAGATGGCTTTGATTATTAGGAGGACTCTCTTCATGTGAAGATTAAGTCTTCCTTTCTACAACTGCCATCTCTTGTTCCTTGTTTTGTCCTCTACAGCCAAGCAGAGCAGGTCTCATTCCTCTTACACCTAACAGTTCTTCATATATTTTAAGACAATCATCATGTCCCTGCTAATCCTTCTTCTCTTTAAATGAAATTTCCTCAGTTCCTTCAACTTGCTTTCATATGACAATGGTTATGAGTATCCCCATCTTGGTTGCTCTCTTTTAGACACTCTCCAGTTTGCCAATGTCCTCTTATAAGAGTAGAGCCCACAAGTGAATAAAATACCTCTGATATGGTGAGACTAGCACATAGTGTAATAATTCTATGATCATTCTGGAGTCTAGTTTTCTCTTAATGCATTAGCTTTGGGGACTGCCATATTGCATTGTGGGTTCACAATGAGCTGGCAGTCCATTAAAACCTTGAGATCTTTTTCAGATGAATTACTACATAGCTAAATCTCCCCCAGTTGTACTTGTGCAGCTGTTTTTGTTTGTTTATGTCAAGTATAGGATTTTTCATCCCTCTCTATAAAATTATACCTTATTAGATATGGCTCATTCTATTCTGTTCAGCTTTTTGGATCCTGATTGTCATCCAATGTGTTCACTATCCTTTCTCACTTTGCGTCATATGTAGATAATTTGATATGAAATGTCTTTTATGTCTTCATTTATATTGCTACCTAAATTGTTGAACAACAGATCCCTGAGATACTCCACTAGTGACTCCAAGTTGACATCAAATGTTTAATGACTAAACTTTGGGTCTAGTCAGTCAGCCGCTGTCAAAACCACTTAAATTTACAACCATCTAGACCAGAGCCGTCAAACAGCCCACCCCCACCCCAAGATCACATGTGGCC